TACTGTCCAGAACAGACAAATTTATTGAGATGGAAAGTAGATTAGTTGATGTTTGGGGTGTGGGGAGGGAGAATGGTGAGTGTGTGTTTAATGGGTATAGACTTCTTTTGGGGGGTGCTGAAATGTTTTGGAACTAGACTTTAGTAATGAATAATGACTTTGTACCAAGACCATTAAATTGTGTACTTTACATGACTGTATTATATGGCATGTGAATTATGTTTTAAAGCTATTATTTTAAAAATAAATAATATCCATCACATTCCTTCTCCTCACTTCCCTCCAGCAGGCAATGTAAACAGAGCTTGCCAGCTGCCTAGCAACACCATCCACAGCTCCATGCTATACTTTGTGATAGCACTTCTTTCTCTTTAAGGCTAATTAAAAAGTCATTTATACTAGACATATATATATATATAATTTTTTTTTATTTTAACTAGATTTTTAAAAGTAAAATGCTAGGGGTGAAGCTGTAGAGTGAACTCAGTTGTGTTTTGGCATCAGGCCCAGATCCTAACTGTGGATGATACTGATGAGGGAATGGGCTCAGAACTGAAAAGCAAGAGTCTTTGTCCATAAGTTTACAGTGGAAAAAAAGAAAAAGAAACAAGGCCCAGAGGGTACATGATAGATTTTTGCCTAGATATCTTTTAAGGATCCTAATAATCCAAATTCAGCATTCTATGGAAGGAAGCCATTCTTCTATCCTTGGTATTATTTCTTTCAGCACATTGCCTCCCAGAAACTGGTGTTGTGTGAGTGCACTATCAGCTACTTCTTGGTGATCCTTTCTCCCTTTTTCCCTCACACCATCCACCTGCCCCTGATTCTACAGCTCCCAGAAGGCATATGAGCAATCTTCTTCAGGTTGCAGTGGCTTGGAAAGTTCAACATTGTCCCCAGGTAGCACGTGATTCAAGGGGTTTCTGAATGCTCTAAAGATGCAGAGAGCTTTTAGACCAGGTAGGCTTTTAGACTTAGTCTTTTTACATGCTGAGTCAGGGGTTGGATGTGGGTGGGTAAGAGGTCAAGTCTTGAGCCTATCTTGCTTGGCTGATTCTGGTACTTCACAGAAGGAAAATTGTTTTTTTGTTTTGTTTTGTTTTGTTTTTTGAGATAGGGTCTCCCTACGTAGTGCCACTGGCCTGGAACTCTGCCTTCGGAGTGCTGGGATTAAAGTTGTGTGCCACCACGCTTGGCTCACAGAAGGGAAAATTGATGGTTGAACACTACCTAGAATTCAAAGGACTATCTAGGGGTATCACATCAGTTTATAGGAGAGCTGTGTTTTTAGTGGGGAAGGGGTTTCTAGGCCTCAGCAGTCTCTTGATTATCAACATTTCTAGCATCTCTTGTCCTAAGAAGAGTAGACTTGACCATAGCAACTGACTGACTATAATGGTTAGTGGGTGTCAACTTAACAAGATCTAGAATCACCCAGGAGACAAGCCTCTGGGCACACTTGTGAGGGATATTACCTAGATTTGGTTAATTAAGGTGGAAAGTCCTGCCAACTGTGGGTGGCACCATTGCATGGGTTGGGGTCCTGGGCTGAATAAGAAGGAGAAAGTGAGTTGAGCATGGACATTTATCACTCTCTGCTTCCTGACTATGGTTGAAATGTGGCTAGCTACCCCCTGCTCTTGCCTTCATACCTTCTCTGCTGCAATGGTCTGTATACCCTGGAACTGTAAGCCAAAATAAATTCTTCCTTCCTCAAGTTGCTTTTGTCAAGTATTCTGTCACAACGTTTCCAGAAAGTTAACTTGTACACTGATGGATCAAAGAATGTTAGACAGAACTAGGGAAAATCCTCAGTTAGTTTCCCCAGCAAGGCAAAGGAACAAGGAAATAAAAGACCAGAGGATTTAGTGACTTGGAGCACCAGAAGAGTCTTAAGACTGAAAATAGAGAAGCTGGTGGATGAGGGGAATCAGATGGCAGGAAATTTACAGGTTTATACCACTCCTAGGGGAATCCAATAAAAGTACAATAGGAGTTATGCCCTCAGGACCATATGATAATTTTGTTGAAATATGAAAATTAATACATTTGAAGTAATTCATAATTTGAGGTTAAAATGTGGTACTGACAAAAACTGTCTGAGGAGGGCAGGTTATATGGACTGGTATCTCTGGGCACTGAGTGGCTGAATAAGACAGTGCTCATTCAGTCAAAGGACTATGCCCTAGGTACAGTGGCTGCAGCCTTTGGAGATGAGTGTGACTAAGGCTTGCCTGACTTATTGGAGGAAGTATGGAGGAGGAAGCTTCATCATCCCTGGTTGTCAATCACCACTGTCATTGAGAGCCACAATAAACATTCATTTGACATCCTTGCTACATTTACACTTCTATTAGGAAGGCAGAGCAAACAGATTTGAAGAAGTCATACAAGAAAATATCTACCAATAGTACAAAGAAAGGAGAATGGGGGTAGGGAAGGTGAGAGACAGCTTCCTGGTGGGGAGGGGGGTGTCACACTGAAGCTGACCCTTGAAAGATGATTAGAATTTGGGCTAGTGTAGAAAAGGATGAGGTGGGCTGCAAATGGCATCACCTAGGCACAGAAGGTGGGAGTAAACAGGATGAATACGGTAAGTGAGCAAACCTGCTGGACTGGTACAAAGGGTGTGTGCTAGGGTAGCGTGGGCGACGAAAATTAGAGAAGCAGTGGTGATTACAGACAGCCTTGGATGTCAGACAGAAGGAATCATTTAGGAACAAAATAGGAGGACTTTGTAAAGCTGCATACTTGGGAAATGGTGAAGGCATGGGGCAGAAAGAGGACAGGCTGGAAAGAACAACACTGGTATTATAGTCTACTTTTCTTGGTTTGTTTTGAGACGAAGTCATAGAAATCCCCCTGCTTCTGTCTCCAGAGTGCTGGGATTAAAGGCATGTGCCACCACCTCCAGCCCTATTCTACATTCTTTTTAGTTTTTCTCTTCTGTGTTTGGGTGACCAATTCACCCCATCCCAGTGAAGTGGATGAGTTGGTGACCCTGCCTGAGACCCAGCTTGCAAGTAGGTTGCTAAAGCTGCCTCAAGGGATTCTGTACCCTGTGTTGCTGGTGGAGGACCTGTCTTCTCCTTGGAACCTTCCAAGTAATCAACACATTTTTTCTGAGGCTGTCCTCAATAGTGTCACTTTGTTAGTGAACCACAAAAGAGGAAGTATGAGTCTGCTAGCCCAGAGGCAGCTGTGCTTCAGACAGCAGCAACTTTCCAAGTGGAATCTGTCCCTAAATCAGCCCCCAGGAAAGGAGGCAGCAATTGAGGGAACCTTCAAAAACAACATAAATGACAAGCCAAGTCTGTCTTGAGGCCATCCTTTTGCTGGCTGCTACTTGCCCACTCCTCACATAGATTCCTTTCACTGACTTCCTGTGGCAGAGGAGATTAGCATAAGCTTTGCTACATTTATGTTATTACCCAGAGGCAGATGTTTTCCCTTTTTCTCTGGGGTTTAGAATTATGCAAATGAGGCATGAAAACAAAAGCTCAGTGAGGTGGAGGAAGATTGTCTTTAAAAATCCAGGCAATTTTAAGAGATCTTTAAGACACCCCTCTCCATTTTTACTAACAGCTTTCTTGGCTTCTTGCCAGTCTATTTAGACTGTGGCATCTCTTCAGAGCCTTTCAACCAAAGACCTGAAAGTTAATTCTGCCTCATTTTGTAAGTCAGAAATTAAGGCACACACACATATATAGGCTTTCAGTGTCTGTGGGCTGGCCTTGAGTTTTGATCTCTATCTGGTTCAATCTTTCCTTTGCTGCAAACAATCTTGCCTGAAAAGGAAACTGACCCAATTGCCTCCTAGGTTCTCCCTCCTGTGATACTATCTGGAGGGCAATAGGACCTGGGAGGTTCAACCCTGCGGCCAAGGGAGACACACCTGCCTAACCGCGTGGGTTGAGCAAGTGTGGGAGTGAGCCACTTTAGCTAGCTAGCTGTGGAGGGCAGGGTAGATGTGGGTCCCTGCTACTCCTGGGGAAGAGGAAAGCTCTCTCCCGGATTCCGAGGTCACGGTGAGAAATGCTTTTGAAGACTAGCCCAAGCCCCTTTTTGTCGTGCCTCTCTACCTGGAGCATCCTTTGGCTCTTCGTCCAGAACTCTGGTTCATTTTGATTGGCCCCAGCTGTCCCTCCCATTCGCCTGCTGACACCACCACCACCTGATCAAGTCATCCAGGTGCCTTAGCTCCCGAAGCCAGGGACCTGCTGCACTCCTCATACTCTGCCTTTCGATAACAAAGCCTCTCCAGCTGCTTCTCATCTTGTTCCTAGCACACGCTCAGCTTCTCCCCGCGGAGACCACGCTTGGGAACATTGGGCTTTACTCGGGCCTTCAGCCAGGGAGTCTTGGGGGCGGGGCTTGGGGCAATCGGAGTTGGCATCCAGAGAACCCTTGACTCGGTGCTGGTCCTCAGAGAACTCCGGTGAGCGGTGAGCAGGCGAGCCGGCGAGCTAATAGCCACAACCTAGCAGTAGCTTGGATACCTAGGCGCTGAATTGAATCCTCCAGGGGACGCCCAGGCTATCTATGCTCCCTTTTTCTACCCTGGCTCAGTTCTCTGCTGACCCGAGGAAGCCACACTGATCAGAATTCCTCAGGAGGAGCTGCTGAGTGTGTGATGTGCCCTGACAGAAGGGCTACTCCCCTGTCTAGGGGGCTGTGAAAAGAGCCGCCCCTGCAAACAGCTGTTCCATGTCTTTTCACTCGCCTGGAATTAAGACTCCAGATTCGGTGCTGGGATATTTGATTTTGCCTTGTCCAAGTTGCTCAGCACAGATGTTGACGATTGCATATCTGGCCAATCAAGAGTGAAGTTCAAAGTGATACTCCTGGGCTTTCCATCCCAGATTCTAATTTGAGTTGAATCTAGAAGAGAAGGGTCTACTTACTGTTTTGACTGGTTGGTCTCAAATCAGGAACTCAACTTGACAGAGCCCACTTGACTGATCTTGGACTGCATTAGCTACAGGGCTCTTTTGGGAATGGGTGGGGAAGAACTCTGAATACTGGACCACAACAGAACTTCCACGATGGACAGAGTTTATGAAATTCCTGAGGAGCCAAATGTGGATCCAGTTTCATCTCTGGAGGAAGATGTCATCCGTGGACCCAACCCACGTTTTACCTTTCCATTTAGTATCCTCTTCTCCACCTTTTTGTACTGCGGGGAGGCTGCATCTGCCTTGTATATGGTTAGAATTTATCGAAAGAATAACGAAACCTTCTGGATGACATACACCTTTTCCTTCTTTATGTTTTCATCCATTATGGTTCAGTTGACCCTAATTTTTGTCCACAGAGACCTGGCCAAAGATAGACCACTATCATTATTTATGCATCTAATCCTCTTGGGACCTGTTATCAGGTGAGCAATTTTAAATCTCTCCCCAACAAACCCCTCCAAATGTATACAGAGAAGGATGAAGCTAATAGTTCCACTGCTGATACTGTGCTTCTGATCTAATTGATTCTTGCATTCTCTCCCACTCCTGACTGCCCTATCTACTGTTCAAACACCTTATCTGAAACTTTAGGTGCCATCATAAAAAGCATGTAGCATGTTATCTGTGCTCCAAAAACTGTGGATGGTATAAATAAGACTTGATTAGACAATTCTGAGTTTGGGTTGTAAAAACTGGTATGGGACCAGCAGATGTGGTCGCCTTATGCAGTCAGACTATAGCTATAGAGTAATTTTTTACTTTGCTGGGGACCAAACCCAGGGCCGTGGGCATGCTAAGCAAGTGCTGTTCCACTGAGCTATACTCCTAGCCCCGAGAGTCTATAATTTTAATTCTGCCTTTTAGGTACTTTATGAAATGGATAAACATTCCTTCCTGCCTCCATTCCATCCCACATTCAGTTTTTACACCTTGAACTTCTTTGGCTGGTCTTGTAGTCATTTTCTCAAATTTTCCAGGGTTATTTGACATCTGGGAAATTCTTTACGTCATCTGTAGCAATCTGGTACTCCACCCCAATGTAGTTCACTTTTCTCCATTGGTCCATCAGTCTCCTTATCTCTTTTTATATTTCTGCAAAAAATATACACAGTTGGAAGGTACTAAAGGAAGGTAGACCACCTATATCTCAGTTCAGTCACAAAGAACGATAATATTAGGTGTCTCATTCAGGTTACTGTAAAGGGGGTAGGAACGTATTTAATTGTAGGGAATCAGGCATCTGTGTCTGAAGCCTCATCTGGATGCTATGGGGTTTGAAGGTAGAGAAACATTGCACAATGCATGAGATCAGGAGGAAGGAATGGACCAAGTTTGTCATGACTGTAAGAGAGGCAAACATCTACAGTCAGCTGAGGAATATGGGTCACAGTGTTGATGTTGTAATTGCATGAGGAAGATTCAGCTCATCCTTAGCTAAAACATGCTGTGACACTGATTAAGGCTGGGAATCCTTTTTTATAAAATTTATTATCTGCAAATATACATAGTTTATATCTTCAACTGTATTTCTATAAATCTGGAAAATGTTTATCTGTATAGTTTTAAACAAGGAAGAATTGGTTAAGTTCCATCACTGAAAACAAGGTGGTGACCTGGATTAGGAGACCTAGAGTCTAGTCTTCCCTCTGTTACTTTTAAGTTGTGTGGCCTTAGTGGAATTTCTTAAGATGCCTTGGGCCTCAGTTCCCTCATCTGTAAAATAAATGGATTGGGATAGATTATGATTTCTAATTTCAGGTGTTTGCATGGGCTAGGCAGGTACTATAAATTGGTGAAATAGAGCATGTATTAGAAAATAGTCTCATGTGTGATGAGCCCAAAACAAAGACTCAGTGTTTTGAGTGGAATGGTGGGCAGTAGCCATTACCATGACAATCTGGACTCCAGGAACTGCCTAGCAAGGAGCCAGCCACTCTAAAACGCTGACCCATTGGATCTCTATTGGAATTCAGATCCAGTATTGCCAGATAAAACTTCTGAGAAGTCCCCAAGATGGGATTTTATGTGCAATTTCATGATTTTAAATTCTGGCAAGTGACTAAAAGCAATGAATACAGTATGGGCCATGCTGTACCTCATGGCCAGATATGATTCAGCTAACCCTATGCAGTTTTGGGGTTGGATGATGAACTAAAGATCCTTTTCAAGTTCTAAATCTTTAAAGTTAAGCTGTAAAAGGAAGACCTTATCTTTAACTTCAAGATGTCACAAAAGATTCAAGGAAACCATTCTATGTGCTTTTTTTAAAAGTGCAATATACTGAGTTAACAGTTGAGGAAGATGCAAATTTTAGCAAGTACCCAGTCCTCAGTTTTGACTTCCCCCTTTTTTTTCTTGTTTGTGGCCTCACAAACTGTTTTTGACTTGATCACTCTACATGGAGGGTGTTGACTATTTCTCATTTTTGTCATGTAAATTGTACTGTTTATGAACTGAGAAGCATTTATAACCTCAGTTACTCAAAGTCCATAGCAGGGGAAAATAATTGTAAACTCATAAATGATATTCTTTATATGCTTATTTTCAAGGCACATTCCTTCTTTTGGTAGGTAAGAATCTGAGTGGTGCTTTCAGGCAAATGAAGCTGTTTGTACAGCTTGGCGCCCTTACATGAAATGCAAACATGCTTCTGGAAATGAAGATGTACTCTGGTTTACTGTAGCTCAGGAGCAAGTCAAACCCCTTACTTAAACTAGTGAATAGACTTAAGAATAAAAGCATAAACAGAATGCTTCGTACCTCCCCAATATTTTGACAGGCTTCTGTAAATCTAAGATATTTTGTTGAAAATAAACTTGGGCATTTTTCCCCAAATAGAAAGAAAGTTGCATTTTTCTTTCTTCTTCTTTTCTTTTCTCTCTCTAGGTCTTAGAATTTGTCTGTAGAAATTTTAGAGCTAGGGAGATGGCTTAGTGGGTGAAGTGCTTGCTGTACAAGCAAGAGAACCCAAGTTTAGATTCTTAGAACCCATGTAGAAGTGGATGCAGTAGCGCATACCTCTAATCCTAGCCCTCCTACAGCAAGATGGGAGGCAGAGACCAGAGAATCCTCAGAAGCTTGTGGGCCAACAAGCCTGAAAAACAGAGACCCTGCCTCAAACAAGGTAGACAGCAAGGACCAACACCCAAGTTTGTCCTTTGATCTCCACGCATGTACTGGGGTATGTGAATACCCACTACCCCCAAACACACAGGTACAAAAAAGTAGAAATTTCTCATACACATTTTTTGATTTTTGAAACAGGGTCTCCCTGTAGTCCCAGGTGGCCTGGAATGCGCTATGTAGACCAGGCTGACCTTGGATCTCATAGACTTCCTCCTGCCTCTACCTCCTGGGTGCTGGGATTAAAGCCGTGCACCACCATGTCATACCCAGCAATCCTCCACATTTTGAAGCAGTACACATCAAACAATGCCAGGGAGATGCTGTGGAGAATGGCAGCCAGTTCATATTCTCAGCCTTCCTGTTAACAGTCAAAACCTAGAAAGCACATCCGTCCCAGAGCTTATCTTTGATCTATTCTTCTGTTAAGTCACTCTCTGTTATCCTCACCTCCTGCCATTTCCCACCTGTCTTCTTTTTCTTATTCTCATTCTTTCATTTGCTCAGCAAATATTTCTCAAATTCCCACTTCATGATAAGAGCTGGAAGCAAGATAATACAACCCCTGCCCTCGGTCTGTTGGGGAAGATGACTTCATTTCGAGCACAGATATTTTTGTCATAAATAGTGAAGTTTCCATTCTTTTCAGGATGAGTGGGGGGAAGTGATAACTCAGATGTTCCAAAATAAAATGTCTTAGTTGCTTTTTTCTTCTGTTTACCATCAGAACTGCTAGAGACTTTAGATTTTAATGTGGGAGATATGGGAGGGTCACAGCGAGGAAGGGGGTCTTATGGATAGGTCAAGGGTAATAGGCTCTTGTGAGGATGTTTTCCTCTTTGTAAAGAGAATCAAATTTAAAAGGGGGTTGTCCCCAAACAAGAGGCACAAAGAGAGATGCTTTCTTGAAAATGCAGACCCTAAGAATCCCAAGTATGAAGCTGAATACATTTATCAAAGAATTTAAGGTCTTGTGAAAACCAGAGCCCTTTAGAACCTTCAACTTTCTCTTTGAACACAATATTTCTTAATATTTATGTGTTTGAGGCACTTTTTTTAAGCCACTGGCCTGTTCTTAAGGAGAAAAAAACAATTCCTTGCCTAAAAAGAGGTATTTCTGAAATGGTGTTCTTAGGTCAGAAGGTGACCAAACAGAAAAGGGCATAGATAGAAGTAACTTGTAGAAGGTACGGCCAACCCTTTGATTCATGTGCAGTGGGCACAAGAAAGGAAATGACAAAGAGTAACACACCCTCTGCAACATTTTCCCTTTTATAACAACTTCCTTTCCTGGGACAATTTTAGTTAAGTTCCCATGATGCTTTGCTCCTGCAGATGTTTGGAGGCCATGATTAAGTACCTCACACTGTGGAAGAAAGAGGGGCAGGAGGAGCCCTATGTCAGCCTCACCCGAAAGAAGATGCTAATAGATGGCCAGGAAGTGCTGATAGAGTGGGAGGTGGGCCACTCCATCCGGACCCTGGCTATGCATCGCAATGCCTACAAACGTATGTCACAGATCCAAGCCTTCCTGGGCTCAGTTCCCCAGCTTACCTATCAGCTCTATGTGACCCTGATCTCTGCAGAGGTGCCCTTGGGTAGAGGTGAGTGGGGTCAAGAGAAGGGAGGGCTCTGTTTAAACCAAGAGTCTTAGAAGTCTAGGCCTAAGCTTTCCAATATCCTGGCCGCTAGCTTCATGTGGCAATTTAAAGAAAAAAATGCACTAAACGCATACTTCCTCAGTAATGATGTCCACATTTCAAGTGTTCAAAAGCCATGTATTGTTAGTAGCTTACTATTCTGGATGGAATATATTTAGAACACTCTGATTTGTTGGACTGTACTGGGGAACTGAAGAACTTAGGAGTCAGACATCTCAGTCCTGTCAGATTTATTAAACTGGGGTACAGTGAAGTGTGTAAATGATGTTGCTTGTTGCTTTGTTTGTTTAGGGATGGCCACCTTTAGAGAAAGAGTCCCCAAATATAATTGAAAATCATAACAATGTGAGAAGATTCTTTTTTTTCTTTTTTAAAATTTATTTATTTTTATTTGCATGAGTGTTTTACCTGCATGTATTTAAGAGTACCATATACATGTAAGGCCTACAGAGGCCAGAAGAAGGCATTGGATCCATTAGAACTGGAGTTGTTAGCCAGCATGTGGGTGCTAGGAATTGAACCCTGGTCCTCTGCAAGAGCAGCCAGTGCTCTTACCCACTGAGCCAGCTCTCCAGCCCCCTTTCTTTCCATATTTTTTTTGGTCTCTTTGAGACAGGGTCTCCCTGTAACCCTGGCTGGCCTGGAACTCACTATGTAGAGAGCCTCTGCCTCCTGAGTGCTGGGATTAAAGGTGTACACCACCATGCCTGGCTTTTTTTCCATATTTTGAGATAGGAGTTTCACTCTATGATCCAGGCTGGCCTGGAACTTACTGTATAGTCCAGGTTGACCTCAAACTCATGGAAATCTTCCTGCTCAGCTTCCCAAGCTGAACTACCACACCTGACTTGGAAGATTCTTTTTTATAACATTACCTTCTCTTGGGCCTGGAGAAATGGCTCAACAGTTAAGAGTACTTGCTGCTCTTGCAGAGGTTCTGTTCTCTGACCACGTTCTGTTCCCAGCACCTACATGGTGAGTTAACAAGTGTTTGTAACTCCAGATCCAGGGGAATCTGACACCCTATTCTGGCTTCTCTAGGCACCAGGTATGCACGTGGTGTATGTCTATACATTTAGGTATATGTTCACACACAAATAAATAAAGCTCTTTAAAATGACCTTCTCTTGCGTGGTGGCACATGCATTTAATCCTAGCACTCGGGAGGCAGAGGGAGGTGGATCTCTGTGAGTTTGAGTCCAGCCTGGCCTACACAGAAAGTTCTAAGCCAGCTGGGACTGCAGGGAGACCATGTCTCAAAAAAAAAAAAAATGACCTTCTCTTCCCAGACCTGAATCAACCCCAGAGTGTGAGGAGGCCAGGAACCAGCATTAAAAAAAAAAAAGTACCATAGTTTATTCTGGCTAGCTTCATTAGGGAACCATGGATTTAATAATCTCCTACATTAGTTGAGAGACATAAAAGGAGTATGGAATGAATACTGGTAAGTCAGGCCTGATGCAAGTTCTGATCTTCTCTGTGATCTTTGGAGGAAGTTACAAGCAGTCACTGCCATAAGTTCCACTTGTAAAAGAGGGATCCCAAGATGAGTAAGAACTCTAGCAGAGGATGAAATGTGAGTCAGTGTTGTCAAAGTCTAGATCAAGTATTATTACTGAATTTTACCAGCCTGATATATGCTTCATCTGGTTGGGTAGAAGCCACTTCAGGTGTGGGTATAGCTTGGATCATTTCCTTATTAGTAAGTGCTGACCCTGTTTGGCAAAGTCCTCTGTTTCAAATACATGTTTCAATAGAGGGAAAATTTGTCCTCTTTTCTGCACTAACAGTTTATGATGTTCTGTTGATTTTGAAGCTTTTTACACATATTTAATTGACAGTAGTTTGAGGAAAACACTATCTAGAAATGATGCTGCTTCCTGAAAATTTTGAGAGTTGAGAAATCATCTACTTAAATAGGTATACAGTACACAAATAGAACATGCACATACTGATCGACCTTCAGGTAATTGTATACACAGAAAATATCTGGAAAGCTATGAAAAAAAACTATGTCAAGAGTGGGAATGAGGGTGGAGTGTGGTGGTACATGTCTTTAATCCCAGCACTCAGAATGCAGAGGTAGCCTGGTCAACATAGTGAGTTCCAGGCCAGCCAGAGCTACATAGTGAGACCCTGTCTCAAAAAACTAACAAACAAAAAAAGTGTGAGAATGAGAAATCAGCAGTGTTAACTTTAAATTCATTTGTATGAAATTTTACCATCTTAATGTACTATTTTTAGTTTTTATTTTCTAATTACAAAAGTCAGATGTTGTTTGGTAACAGTTCAGATCACACAGAATAGATACAAAATAGAAAATATAAAGCTGCTCCCCAAAGGTTATCTCTGCTAGCCATTCAGTATGGATCCCTCTGGACCTCCCTTTCCTATGCACACATACTGGGCTGTGGATGTGGCTCAATGGATGAATACCTGTCTAACATGTGCATTACGTGTTAGCACTGTAGGGAAACCTGCACCCTGCGTTAAATCCCTAGCACTGCAGAAAAATCAATATATAGACAGCATATATTACATATTTTGACCCAGAATAATCTTTTTCATGAGTGTGCTAATACATATTTTCCAATAGTTATTTATAAATATATATACATACATATGCAAAGCTTATTTCTCATATGAATTAGATCATTTTTCATTTCTTATTTTCTATTGTTAGGATTAAAAATTGTTTCTAATTTTTCACATATAAAGGTTTTCCCCCTAATTTCAAAGTCTGTTATTGTCAACATCTTTGTAAATGTCTGTGTACCTGAATGAGACTTGTAAGATAATTATAGCAGTAAAATTACTGAGTGAAATAAATTGTGCTTAGAATTTTATTTATTCTACAAAATAACCAAAAGGGTATGTGAATTTATACTGCTACCTATAGTATGTGGATGTGCTGTTCCTTCATTATCTCAAACTTCTGGCCTTTTATTTTTTAAATTTTTTTATGTATTTGTTTTTATTTTATGTGTATGTGTTTTGCCTGCATATATCGATCTATATCTATATCTGTATTTATACCTATACCTATACCTATACCTATACCTATATCTATATCTATATCTATATCTATCTATATCTATGCACCATGTGCATGCTCTGTCCCCAGAGGTCAGACGAGGGCATTACATCCGATGGAACTGGAGTTACAAATAGGTGTTAACTGCCATGTGGGTGCTGGGAACCAAACCCAGGTCCCTGCAGCAAGAGCAGCCAGTGGTCTTAACTGCTGAGCCGTCTCATGAACCCCAGCTTCTGACTTTTAAAGTAGTTGGCTTTCTTTGTGAGTGAAGCCAAGCATGTTTTCATGTTTTCTGTGTATGTTTTATGAATTGCTTATTTATGTACTGTAGTCACATTTTTCCAGTATATTGCTTATCTTTTATATTTTAGGTGCTGTTTACTCATTCGTGATAATGATCTTGCTCTGTTGTAGGTGTGGGTATAGTTGTATAAATTTTCTGTCTACAAAACACATTTTAAATTTACATGTATGCCATACATGTAATATGTATACAATATCTACTCCTAATATACACAATATATTTTTGGTATCTTTTTGAAGTATTACTTTTTTGTTTTGTTTTTTTGAGACGGGTCTCACTATGTAGCTCTGTCTTTGAATTTATTATGTAGACTAGGCTGCCCTCAGTATGTAGATCAGGCTGGCCTTGAGCCCACAGAGATTCTCCTTCCTCTGCTTCCTAAGTGCTGGGATTAAAGGCATACATCACCATACCCATACTTTTATATATTAAAAATCTTGGGGGCTAGAGAAATGGCTCAGCGGTTAAGAGCACTGGCTACTCTTGCAGAGCACCTGGGTTTGATTCCCAGCACTCACATGGCGGCCAACAGCCATCCATAACTCCAGTTCCAGCAGCTCCAATGCCCTCTTCTGACCTTCTCAGGCAATGAACAATATGGGTTCACTTACACACATGTAGGCAATACATTCATAACGACACACACCTTTAATCTCAGCACTTGGGAGGCAGAGGAGGTGGGTCTCTGTGAGTTCAGGGACAGCCTGGTCTATACAGTGGAGTTATAGGACAGCTGGGCTACAGGGAGACTCTGTCTCAAAAAGACACACACAAAAAAAACTTAAGTGTTTATAGATTTTTTTTTGCCTGACTTGCAGAAATCTTTCATAGCAAACTTCTGAATAGATGAATTTCCAAGATCAATTTGTCAATTCCATTTATTTATTTATCCATTATCTATCTATCTATCTAGCAATTATTTATTTATTTATTATTTATTTATTTATATGTGTGTGAATGTTTGCCTCTATATACATGTACCATGTGCGTACTTGGTGCTGGTGGAGGCCAGAAGAAGGCATCAGATCTGCTGAAACTGGAGTTAAAGAAGGTTGTGAGCTGCCATGTGGGTGTTGTGGATCAAACCTTTGTCCTCCTCAAGAGCAGCAAGTTTTCTTAACCACTGAGCCAATCTCTCCAGCCCCTAAGATTTACTTTTTAAAAATTTTTACTTATTTTTATTTTATGTGTATGAGTGTGTTGCCTGCATGTATATAAGTGTACCTGTGTCATGCAATGCCCTCAAAGGACAGAAGAGGCCATTGGATCCCCTGGAACTGGAGTTACGGACAGTTGTTAGCTGCCATGTAGGTGCTGGGATTCGAACCTGGGTCTTCTGCAAGAACAGCCAGTGTTTTTTACTGCTGAGCCATCTCTCCAGCCCCCGATTTGCTTTTCTTATTTGTAAAATTATGTACATGTATGTATGTTTGTGTGTATGCATATGGGCATGAGTATGTGAGTGCAAGTGCTCACAGAGGCCAGATGTAGCCCCAGAGGATCTCCCTGGGACTGAAGTTACAGGGAGTTGTGAGCTGCCCAACATGGGTGCTAGGAACGAATCTTGGGTCTTCTGCAAGAGCAGTAAGCACTCTTAATAGTTGAGCCATCACTCTAGCTCTCAATTCCTCCAACTTAATAAGCAATAAGCACTATCCGGGCGTGGTGGCACCGCCTGTAGTCCCAGCACTTGGGAGGCAGAGGCAGGTGGATCTCTGTGAGTTCAAGGCCGGCCTGGTCTACATAGTGAGTTCCAGGACAGCTGGGGCTACAGGGAGACCCTGTCTCAGAAAGATAAAAAAAAGGCAATAAGCAGAAAAGAAAAAGCTATTCCATTGATAGAGATTGCATGAAATTAGTTAGGCTATGGGGGTTTTATATGACCAGTCAGTTTCATATTAGAAGGTGATAATCTCCATTTTGTTAAATTTTTAAGTGTACTTCAATAAAATAAGAAAATTTTCATATTTTTACAAAGCTTATTTCTAGGTGTTCCATCCATTTTTAAATAACCTTCTTTTCTAAGTGTCAAGGTAAACCTAAGGACTATGCTTTTGGAAATGGAGAAACAAGAGGAGGAAGAACAGTCCTACCTGTTGGAACAGTCTTCTGAGTGAACATTAAATGAGGAAGTGCTTTCTTTCTGGATGAGTAATCCTCAGGACTCTCACTTTCTATGAGAGCTATCAAATTATTATTATTATTATTATTATTATTAAGTAGTAGCAGTAGTAGTAGTAGTCATTGTCGTCATCACTATTATTTGACATAAAGGAAGAAAAGGAAAGGGTCGCCTATATCACCTGTAGTTGAGGCTTAGTGTTTAGGTAAGAGATGTCTGACCCTTATGTGCACCTTCTTTAACATACAGTATAGTATGGCTACCATGGGTCAAAAAATGTGTTTAAAGTTCAGAGATTCTTTAAGTATACCAAAGTGTGAGGGTGATGACTTGTAAGTGCTGATGATAAACACAACCCTATAATATCTCAGAGAACTGGGAAACTGAGGCACATAGATATTCAATGAGTCCCACCAGCTACCACATACCTGAATCAAGGATTTTTAACCCTAAGTATCTATGTTGCTGCTCTAAGCTCAGAGGTCTTCGTTATTCCACAAACATCTATCAAACACTTACTGTATTTCATGCACTGTATATTAGCTTGTATAAAACAATGAATAAAATAAATATGGTTCCTTCTGCCTTCATGGGATTTCTAATACAGTTTTTGGCACATACACCTGGAGTGAATCATTTAGAAAATTAGTTTCTTAAAGAAAACACACATCAAAGATGGGACTTCAGGGGCTGGAGAGATGGCTTACACTTGCTCTTCTTCCAGAGGACTCAGGTTCAATTCCCAGCACCCACATGGCGGCCAACAACCACTTGTCATTCCAGTTCCAGGGAATCTGACACCCTCTTCTTGCCTCTGCAAGGCATTGCATATACATAGTACACTTATATACGTCCAGGCAAAACATTCATCTGCATAAAATAAAAATAATAAAAAAGACTGTACTTCAATTAGAAAGGGTATTGTCCATAAGTCACAAGATTACAGTTTTCTCAGATAGTTCTTTTACTTTCTCATTCACTGCTCTTTCAAAAGGCTATTCCATCAGGTAGGTCTACTCTATACCTTTATATATGGTCTCATGTTAGTGACTTCTCAATGTTAGTTCTAAGACATAGTCAAATGATTTCAATCATTTGAAAAGATTATATATTTTATGATTATTAAATTCTTACACTGTATACTCATCCAGAATTTCTAAATTAGAAACAGAAAGTAGAAACATATAGAAGGATAAAATAAAAATATAGAAGATTTTATTATTTTTATTTCCTAACTTCAGTGGTGCTTGGGATCAAATCCAGTGGCTTTGTGCATGCCATGCCAATACTTTGCCATATCCCCAGCCCAAAATATTTTAAAAACTGATATAAAACCCTATCACATTAAAGAAAGTATTTTGGTTAATTTCTTTTCCTTTTCTTTGTGTGTGTGGTATTTTGTTTTATTATATATATTTCAGGTTTATAATGTGATGTTTTGATAATATGTATATCATCTCACATAATTACCATTTGTGTATGTGAACACTTTTAGAAAATTACAAGCATGAAATACAACACCAAGCTTTATATTAGAGCTCTCAAACTTATTCATCTTATAGCAGAAAGTTTGTTCCCTTTGACAAAAACCCCAACTCCTCCCAACCCCCAGTCCTTGGAAAACACTGTCCTATTCTGTTTCTTTGAATCCAGCTTTTTGAGACTTCACATATAAATGAGGTAATACATCATTTTTCTTTCTGGGTCTGGCTCATTTCACTTAGCATAATGCCCTATAGTTTCATCCACTTTATTACAATGACAGGACTTCCTTCATTTTATTGTTGAATAATATTCCATTGCCTGTGTATACAATATTTTCTTCATCCATGCATCTATTAACAGACATTTAGGTTATTTCCATACCTTAGCTGTTCTGGATCACTGTGGTATAGTGAACATAAGAGTGCAAACATCTCTTTGGGAAACTGATTTCCTTTTAAGTATGTACTGAGTAGTGGAATAGCTGGATCATATGGTAGTTCTATTTTTAATTTCTTTATCTAACCCCCATGATGCTTTCTGTAATGACTGTATCAATTTACATTCCATCTGTGTATAAAAGTTTTGTTTTCTTCATATCTTTGTCATACTTTAAAAACCATGGCCATCCTAACAGGTATTAGGTAATATCTTATTATGATTTTTTTTTTTTTTGCATGCTAGGCAAGAGCTCAACGCTGAGCTATGCTACTAGCTCTCACTGTGATTTTCCTTTTCATTTCTGTGGGTTAGTGATGTTGGAAACCTTCATATATCTGTTGGGTATTTATATGTCTTTGTTAAAATGTTTATTCAAGTGCATGATGTTTGTTTACAGAGCTATGATCATATATACATTTACTCTTAACTGGGGCTTTCAAGCTCTACCCATTATCTCTGGGCCTCTGGGTCTGAGTACAGGCTTCACCACCAACATTAACTGATTGCCTCCTTTTCCCATTCTTTATTTTACAGCTGTGCTAATGGTTTTTTCCCTGATATCTGTCACCTATGGGGCTACCCTCTGCAATATGCTGGCTATTCAGATAAAGTATGATGACTACAAGATTCGCCTTGGGCCACTGGAAGTCCTTTGCATCACCATCTGGAGGACATTGGAAATCACTTCCCGCCTTGTGATTCTCGTGTTGTTCTCAGCCACGTTGAAGTTGAAGGCTGTGCCCTTCTTGGTGCTCAATTTCCTGATCATCCTCTTTGAGCCTTGGGTTAAGTTCTGGAGGAGTGGTGCCCAAATGCCAAACAATATTGAGAAAAATTTCAGCCGGGTTGGCACTCTGGTGGTGCTGATTTCGGTTACCATCCTCTATGCTGGTATCAACTTCTCTTGCTGGTCAGCCTTGCAGTTGAAGTTGGCAGACAGAGATCTTGTTGACAAAGGTCAAAACTGGGGACATATGGGTCTGCACTATAGTGTGAGGTTGGTAGAGAATGTGATCATGCTCTTGGTTTTTAAGTTCTTTGGAGTCAAAGTGTTACTGAATTACTGTCATTCCTTGATTGCCTTACAGCTTATCATTGCTTATCTGGTTTCCATTGGTTTCATGCTCCTTTTCTTCCAGTACTTGCATCCATTGCGCTCACTCTTCACCCATAATGTAATAGACTACCTCCATTGTGTCTGCTGCCACCGGCACCACCAGGGAAGGACTGAGAACTCAGAGCCATCTTGTGAGGCTGAAACAAGACAAAGCATTGTCTGACTTTATCTTCTGGACATTATGGGATAGGTTGGGGGGTTATCAAGAGCAACTGTGAAATTGAAGGAGAAGACGAGACTCCTGTGTGAGTCCTCACCAGATCACTTTCTCAATGATCTAAAAAGTCTGTCAAAAAAAAAATGTGACCTCTAAATAGGTTTTACGTTTTTAAGATTGACTACTATGTTTGGATATCAGCACTAGTCATTGTTTAATTAGGAAAGTCAGAGATACTGTTCATCCACATCTTACCGAAGTCAATTGGAATAACCTTCAAGCACCTCAGGTTCTTTGTGAATTTCCAGCTTAGCTCATTTGCTTGAGGCATCGCTGAGCTTCCCTGGACTAATCCGAAGCCTCAGAACTCTACCAGCCCACATCCCAACTGACGAGAGGATATGACAGCTTACTAGCAATGGCACTTCCCTGGGAACAGCCTGACTATTGTAGAACCTTTTAACTGTAAGAGTGGCTGGGGTATTTTAATTCTAATGAAAAACCATGGCTAAGAAGACAATCTCCGCTACTCACTAAATGAGTTAGTGCTCCAAAAGGATTTTACTAATGTCTCCCTGGCTGGACTCAAGGTCACTGTGTAGCTGAGAACTATGTAGCTTGAACTGATTTTCCTGCCTCCACCTCCTGAGTGCTTGGGTTGCAGGTATGTGCCACTGTGTTTGGTTTATGTGGTGCTCAGCACTGAACCCAAGGCTATGGACTCTACCAACTGAGTGACTCTTAGGGAACTGTGTACGCCTCCAGCTTATCAAGGGAAATGTTTGAGTGAAAACTCATTCAGTGAGCCTTTAACAGGAACACCCTCCAATCCAGCTTTTCTGTGCTCATGTTCTTGGCATTTTGCTATTTGATGTGTAGATCTCAGAGAAGTTGAACGGTAACTGAAAATGTTTCTGATATGTAAAAGAAATGAAGATTTCTTTGTGTCTGCTACTGTCCTGAGTATTTTATTAATTTTCTCTTAAGGGAGAGAACCTAATAATGGCTAGGACATCACCTCCATGTTGTTTTTCATTATGGTGGGTGGGTGACACCTCACAGTGGATGTGAAGGTGGAGGAGGGAAACCAGATCACATTAGATTATCAACACTGCTTTCTCCCTGCAGGATTTTACTTGCTAATGAGGAGTATAGTATTTCCAACATTCTTATCATTAATACACCCCAGTTTGCAAATACACATGTATTATATCGCTTATGTCTCATATCGGTCAGATATTTTGGTGGGCATGTCAGCTGGGTCCCTAGAAGGTAATCAAGCAATTGATGTTACTATGGCCACTGCCTACTAGGGAATCAAATATCTCAGCATTTATCTAACAAATTCTTGTCTCTCACAGATCAGCAAAGTGAGATAAACTAGAAGTATGTACTAGCTGAGGAGCCTATTGGCAATTGATGGCGCCTGGGGGAGGGACAGTCAGTTTTCTTCTGGGATGAGGTTCCTATGAGGCTACCCATGCTCTAGGACACATACGGATATCATTAAGTGGACTCAATGAGTTGAGAGAGAGAGAGAGAGAGAGAGAGAGAGAGAGAGAGAGAGAGAGAGAGAGAAGAGAGAACATGAAATTGGGAGTGAATACTGATGTGGATAGAGGGGGAGGAATTGGGGGAGAGGGAATGGGGAATGAGTAAAATTGATAATTTACTTTTTGGTGCACACCCTTAATCCCAGCACTGGGGAGGCAGAGACAGGCGGATCTTCTGTGAGTTCGAGGCCAGCCTGGTCTACAGAGTGAGTTCCAGGCAGCTGGAGCTACAGGGAGACCCTGTCTCAAAAAGACCAAAAAAAAAAAAAAGTATGTATTAGTTGTAGCCACCATGTTTCAAGAAATTGTAAACAGTCTGATGTAAATGATGAGAACAGGAGGTAGAAATTGCTTAGGCAATTTAAGGTAAAAAGATCCCCAAAGAAAAGTGGCTAGTTTCTTTCTTGGCCAAGAGCTAGAAATGTCCTTGGACCTGCCAGAACACTTGTCCTTCCCTGAGGCCAGAAAAGCCAGAATTATCTAATCCAAAGGTGTCTCTGTGGATACTAGGAAAGGGGTCTAGTTTTTTTTCTTATCTATTTTCCTTGAAGTAGTACCCTGTTCCTGGAAGCCATGCAGAAGACGTTGACCTGAACCTGGAGGGACCTGGACACCTGGAAAAGGACCTGGACTGAGCAGCTGTACAGGGACACTGCCTTCTTTCTCTCTCCTAAACTCCCTGTAATGAAATACTTCTTTCTAAAACCCTCCATGGTCTGTAAATTTCATTCTTCTAATTTGCGAGACAAGTACCTGAAAGCCTCTGGTGTGGCAGTGGCTTTGGTGGCCATAGAATTTCCAGGACCCTAGCTTCTCAAACTAAGCAAAACAGAGCCCAGAAAGGCTCTGCAACTCTCAAAGACACCCCGATATTTCCAAATCATAAGGTTTTCCATTATAATCTAATTTTGTTTTTCCCCCCAATTTTTTGTTTTTAGTCATTTCCCCCCTTCTTCTTATGTTGGGGGAGTACCCTCTTCTAAGTAGTGGGTTGTTAAATAGAATTATCCTATTTCCTGGATAGGATAATTATCCTATTAACCAGAATTATCCTATTTCCTAAGTCTAGTGTGATTTTCTCAACTTCAACTGCTTTGGGGGAACTAAAACGATTTGCTACTTAATTTGGAGGAAGAATGTAATTCGGAGATAGCAGAGATTTCCTTTTACAATCTCAACTCATATCATTTTATCATGACAAAGAAGAGACTTAGGTTGCTTTCATATAAGGATGACACTGACTTCAACAGTTATAGTTAAGGTGAACTAAAATGATCAGACTTCCAGAAGAAAACGGCCTCTTCAGATGCCAAATTCTTCTACCCAGTGGTCAACATGCCCTCAATTAAAAGCAGGAACAGCATTTGGAACAATAACTTGGTACATAAAAGCCATATGAATCAGCTACTTAAGGGGAGGGTATTATGGGAACAGAGAAAGATAATATACATAGAGTTAAGCAGGTCGATTAGAACTGGAGTGTATGTAGATGCACAGGGCAAGAAAGAGCGCCTTAGTGCCAGATCAGGTAAAATGTTTCCCTACGTGTCCTCCAGCCTCAGTGACTTAATATCCTTGGAATGCAGGGAGTTTGGGGACAGGGTGTGGATTAACTTCCAACCTGAAAAACCAGCTGCCTTTACCCAAGGAGAAGAGTTGAGATTTATACATTATACAAACGAATCCCTAGAACCTTCTCTATGATAGTCTTTCTGTTCCACAGAAGTCTTCCAGACACAGAGAAAGGAATTGTGGAATATGAGATGGTACACAGGAGAAATACCCATGTCCATTTTCAAACACGGCTTTTTGTTTGTTTTAAGACAGGTTCTCCATATAGCCCCGACTAGCCTGGAACTTGATAGGTAGACCAGGCTGGCCTTGATCTCATGGAGATCCAGCTGCCTCTGCCTCTCAAGTGTGGGGATTAAAGACTTGTACTTCCATATCTGGCCTGCAAACATGTCTTTAAGTGCTCTATTTTTGACATCTGAAATTCTTTTTTCTGTACTAGGGCTTATGTTCTGGGCCTTTAAGCAAGTGCTGTATCACTAAGCTATATATACCAAGTTCTTTTACAATTTCTTTTTTTTTCTGAAATATAGTCAAAAGTTTGCCCAGGCTGGTCTTGAACTCATGCTGTAGCCAAGGTAGGCCTTGAACTTGTGTTCTTCCTGTTTCAGCTTCTCTAGTAGCTGGGATCATAGTCCTGTACCACCAGGCCCAAATATGTTCCCTGAAATCTTAAAGCAGCACAGGACAGGGTACAGGTACATAGACAAGTCTTACTGAATAGATTAGAGATTCCGCCAGCAGATGGTTTCTGGGAAAGGAAAATAGGTCCATGCGGTTTGAAAAAAACCACTAGTCAAGTAACAATTTCTCCTGAGTAGTCAACATGTTCTTAACACCTATTCTCATATTACTAGAAAATTTTGGTAGGCTAAGTATGTGCAAGTTAGCATGTAAGGAAATGTAGTAAATAATTTGTTCCACAAATATTTTAAAGACTATGGACACAGAACCATGGAACAATTAAATAGCTTATATTTATGAAAACTCTATGTCTAGTACAGTACCAAATGCTTTATATACATTCTTTTTTGATTTATTTATTTTATGTGTATAAGTGCTATGACTGCATGTGTGTAAGTACACCTGTGTCATGCAGTGCCCATGGAGGACAGAAGAGGGTGTCAAATCCCCTGGAACTGGAGTTAGAGAAAGTTGTTAGCTACCATATGGGTGCTGGGATTCAAATCAAGGTCTTCTGTAGGAACAGCCAGTGGTTTTAAATGCTGAGCCATCTCTCCAGCCCCTATACATTCTTTTGTTCAGTCCTCACAACCATCTTACTAAGGTAGGTATTTTCTATTATACCAAGACTGTTTTACAAGTAGAATGAATCTAAAGCATAGAAAGGTTAAATGACTTACACAAGGCCACAGCTAGTGTCTGAACCTAGGTTCAATCATGACCTAAGCTTCTAAGACCTCTTAGGTCTTTATGAATTTACGTTAATACATTGGTAGTTTCGGGATTCTTTTCTGAGATATGGCTGGGTTCATGGCAAATGTTCTTCTCTACAAACATATCTTATCAGAGGACACAACTCAATTCTATCTAAAGAAAAGTCAAGTCCTAAAAATAAATCCTGCGGGGAAAACTGAGCGTGTGTTCACATACACTGGTAGGTTGAACAAAGGAACTGAGGATGTTTGATAAAGAGGCCATTTCTTTCTAGCTTCAGAACTTTGTCTCATGTATGGACTTTGTTTGCTTTGATTTTTTTTGAGACAGGATCTTGCTCTATAGAGCTTAAGCTAAACTGTACCTCACAGTGTAGCCCAGGCTGGCCTTGAATTTGCAATCTTCCTTCTACTGTCTTCTAAGTGCTGGGATTAGAGGCCTGCATCGCTATGCCTGGCTCATGTATATTTTTAACTACATATCTTCCAAAACTCTTCCCGTGGGAAGAAAACTGAAGGGACCAAGTCCCACTCAGGCTTATATTAACTCTGACCCCAGAAACAAGGCAACTCTGAAGCCCACTGTTTTATTTTTGTTCTTTGAGACAGGGTCTCACTACATAGCTAGCCCTACTGACATGGAACTCTCTATTTAGACCAGGCTGGCCTCAATCTCACAAACTCACCTGTCTCTGCCTCCCCAGTGCTGGCTTCAAAGGTGTGAGTCACCATGAAACCGCCTTTTCAGTCCATCTGAGAAGCTGACTCCTAGTTCTAGAGGAGACTACTATATGTGGATGGTGAAAAAGGGTCCCTCTCTCTGCTAACATAGTTCTGAGAGACTGAGTCAACCCTCAGTGCCCTTTCATCTAGTCTCCTTATGCACACCTGTACCTCACAAGGTTATATTCCTCATCATTATAGTCCATTGCCACTTTCCAGAGTGAGGGTAGGGTAGGTGCCTAGGGTAAGGTGCTCAGCAGGATAGCCCATCCAAGGCCAAGAAGCTCTGTCGCTAAGAAGTCCTCTAGTATAAAACCAGTAGACTCTGGATTCTACTAAGAATGGGAATACTCATTCTCTGAAGGTTTTGCTTTTTACTTTCTTCTAACTTTAGAGAACACACACATCAGTAATCTTTTTCTCTTTCTTCTTGAAGGACTGCCCCAGTCAATCACACACTTCGGATGTTTGTGCCTTGGAGGTTTGTAATGAAAATGTATTGTTGGCCTTGACAAGAAAGCATGCACCATGTAAAACAGGAATAATGAAGCCAACCTGCATTACATATGATAACTAAGTGTGC